CCTTGAGCGCGTGCGCGCGCGCGTTTATGTGATTGTGCATGATCATACATGAGGAGTCTCGTTCGGATTAAGACACCGTTTTAAGATGCATTGATTAATCGCAAATCGAACAACGATTTCAGACTTTTCTCGCGCCGGGAGCACTGAATTACGCGATGACGAAACGACAGAAACTCGTCGCGTTTCCTCAAAGGAAGCCCTGAATAACTGGACAGCCGTGTCGCTCTTCTCACGCGTCATCTTCTCACCGAAGATAATTTTAACGTGCGGAGTATCGTGAAAGCACCCGGTTGGTCTTTTTGTAGCAGCCGCGATAAATCCGAAGAAAATCTTTTCTTTCTCGCCAGAGAGATTGGCACGAGTCAATTCGAAACAGTTTATTTATGCTCGCGAGTGAATAAAACATGCAAATCTCGCCGTTTAAACGTCCGTTCGACCGGATTTAATTGTTGATTTATAAGGCCGAAGCGACGCGCGCGAAACGTGAACGATTAAAAATCGGTCAAATTTAAAAATGCTACGGCACGGGGGATCGATTGAGCCAATATTGGCCGGCGTATTTCGGCGTGAACGCCGAAAGTGCGACGTGAATGCGAGCTTCGTGCGGACGACGAAAGATTTTTCGATCAGCCTCCCTCCCTTTCGCGAGCGATGTTGGATCGCGGGGACGTCACGCAATTGATTTGCGAAACACATGGGAAAAAATGAACGGCACGTCGCATCGCAATTCGCTTTATGACTTTGAAGAGCCATGCGGATTCGCGCCGTTGTCGCTGTCGTTCGCGTTCCAGTGTTCCCGTCGATCCCGACAGTATTACAGTATTTGTAACGGTTACAACTTTGTAACGGGGCGACGCTTCGTGTTTTGTGTACTTTTTACACAGACTTCAACTGTTTTAAGGCCATTTTACGGAGAGTCATACGGAATCATGCATGCAGAGCAATTGACAATTATTTTCTTTCGTCTCTCTCTCTTTCTCTCTCTTTTTCTTTCTTTCGCTTTTTTCCCTCTTTTTCCTTTTTCTCCTTTTCAACCCTCACCCGACTGAAATTTAATGCGATCGCGATCCCGTTCCATCATCATCGGAGATTGAAACCGATGTAATATCGAAGAAGCCAATTCTCGACGTTGTGTGCGAGGAGCAAAATGGATCTTATGGCGATCGTCATGTCTTCACAATCACGCGCTTAAAAAGAAAAATGTAAAAAAAAAATAGCACGAGAATCACTCGCTCTCGCGTATCCAATGTCGAGGATGTGAACTCGTAAAACTAGGGTCAGCTCCAATCTCCGATCGTCGTGAAACTGGAACGTTGAGACGTGATCGTTCGCTCTGTCGCGCAACAAGCAGATTTTACTCTGTAGAAAAAAAACCGACGATACAAGAAAACGATAATTATCATTATTATTATCATTAATGTTATTACCTAATTAGATTCTCTTTTCTCCCGTCGAATCGCTCGACTTATTGCTCGGAGTTTCGCGATAATGTCGAATCTCGAGTGTACGTTCATTAAAAGTTTTTATCTCTCGAGCAGGTTGAGGTTTAACGCTTCCGTAGCTGAGGGGTAATTTTTGTACACTTAATGTATATATCGTGTGAGATTTGTCTCTCCTCGTAGGCGGAGAATCGAAGAGATTTCTCTTCTTGCCGAAGAGACGATATTGTTCATCCCTAATGACTTCAACGCGCTTCGGATAATTTGCTTTTACGAAAAGCTACGCTGTACAGAAGGATATTAAGGACAAGAGATCGTAGTTGTTTTTTTTTTGCGATACAAAATCTACCCCATTTTATTATACAACGATGTTGTTTAATCGGACGCACAGGTAATGTGCAGAATACCTAAACGATCTTCTCTCCCTCTCTCTCTCTCTCTCTCTCCTTCGCTCTCTCTCTTTCTCTCTCGCGTATATGTGTAGTCTTAATAGGTAAATGATAATAGGCAACCGCTGCTGTGCTTTCATATTGTTGCTTCCACCTCTGTTTCTTTCTATATATATACATATATATATATATATAGAATATATATATATATATATATATATATATACACGACGTTACATGCAACAAGATAATTTAGATATTCCGCGAGTACACAAGCGTAACATCGCCTCAGCCGCGAAAGGGTTAAATACAGTCTTCTGTGATTAACGTGTGCTTTAAGCGTGTAATTATTACATGCAAAGATCGCGATCTTAGAACGAATAATCGTAACAGCGGTAGAGAGAGAGAACGCGATGTCGCTTTCTCTCTAATATTATATTTTTGCTTTTGTTTTCTTTTTTGCAATCGCGCCATTGTTGCCACGAATCGACGATAATGCGTGTAATGTCGATTGGATCTTGTTTGCGCTCTGCAGATCTAACTGGCCGAAATTCACGAGACAATTGTCTGGTAGCGTTATGTACTTTTGTCATCTTACAAGAAAGGATCGGTCTCTCTCTTTCCGTTCTTCGTTTCGTGTTCTCCTTGCTTTCTTTTCTATTTTTCTGCGTTAATTATTAATTAAAGACAAACACATTAAGTAGATTGTTTCGTTACGACGTTCCGACACAGAACGGAAAGTACATAAATTAACAATAAAGGATAGAAAAATAAAAATTATATATATATATATATAATCGACAATAATATATATTTTTATAATATAGTGAAATTAATACGTTGTGTATCTATATTTATATATATTTGTGTGTGTGTATATATATATATATATATAGATCTGTATATATATAATTATATATATATATAATCGTCAAGTTTTAATATTTACAATATACGTATTGGTATTCGGTATTTCGCGGACCCATGTATATGTGTGTGTCTGTGTTTTTCGCGCAATGTGTGCTGTGCCCTCTTAAACTATCTAACTTCTCTCTATCGCACCGGGCTATGGCAACTAACGTATTAATGGCAAGTACTTGCTGACGGAAAAATCGAGAGTCGATGCTTCGGGTGGAGACGGTACTTGTGGAACGGAGCGATCAAGGAATCGCGACGAAACACTTAATTGAAAAATGCAAAGGAAAAAGAAAGAACAGAAACACGACACGTATTTCCTCAATAATAATATTCAACAAAAATTGCTCGAATATGAAAGGAAAAAAAAAAAGAAAAAAAGAAAAACAGACGACAGATGAGGAAAAATCATTTTTCTTGTTCAAATTAATATTTTTACCTTTGTCGTTATTTTTTCTTTCTTTTCGTATTTTCTTCACTTTATATCGCTCTTACGAGACGTTCGAGTATATAGCATTTTGAGTGCTCCAGCACTTGCGTGTTGCGAGACTTCGACTAGCGAAGCGCACTAATTGCAGCTAATTTAATTAGCTCGACGATCGGGCACACGCGATTAACGTAATCGAGCTCATGTTGGCTCACACTCGTTGCTTTTGTTCCGCGGAACTCTTTTCGGTGTTGCGAGCATTGCTCGCAGCCACGGCCCCGGAATATTCCCGTTTTTTTTTCTTCGCTCTTTGTCGCAAGATCGTGTGATAAACAAGATATTCGCACTGCTCCTATCATTACCGAGGCTTCCCAAGAGCGAAAAACGCTGATAACTATCACCGCTATCACTATCATCATTTTTTCATCATCCTCATTGTTATCATCATTATTATCGCCACCACCACCACCATTATCACCGCCATTATAATTTCATACAATGGTTGACAAAGTTCTGTTTAACGTCAGCGGTGGTGTGAGAATGAGATGAAATAAACGAGACTGCTATTGCTGATCGAGCCTTATCGCTAATACATTCAACAACTAGAAACGTAAACGCGCGCCGGTGTCGTGCTTGAGCCGAACGTGAGTCTCGACTTGTCCTGTATGTATATGAGTTTTTATATGTGTGTCTCCTCTCCTTTGTGCAAACCTATTTTTAACTACCTTTTGCGTCTTTTCCTATATGTGCACATGTATACGTGTTTCCTTTTGCCTATCTCTCTTTTTTCTTTTTTTTTTTGCAATTTTAGGTCATGAAGGTGTAAGCCGTAAACGCGTATGCTCTCGAATAGGCGAAGTGTGGAAGCAATCGGAAGTTATTACGAGTCCACGATTTACTGCTTGTTTGCCGCTCGCTTGCTTACTTGCTTGCTTTGTCCTACACATATATATGTATATATATATATATATATATATATATATATATATATATATATATATATACACACACACATATACATATACACATACATACATACATATACAATTACTGCTGCAGAAACAATGTTCACGGTGTGAAGAGTTATTCGATATACTCAAAACTATATGGGGAAAAGGAATTTGCCGAAGCGACGAATTTTTCGCTGTCTGCGAATTTTGTCGACTACTATTTGAACAGCAAAAATACACACATTGAGAACAGTGATTCTGCACGTTGCAAATAACTTTGCTATAACATATTTTTTGTCCGTTAATAAAGTTATACGTTTTGCACGAATGTTTTTATGCCCAAAGTCATTCAGTAAAAAATCTTATTTTTTACCAGCTAGCTAAGTGTTGTTCTTTATCTTAATATTTTATATATATATATATAAGTAAAGAAATCGCGATTACATACGGTAACAAATTCCCTTTGTGTTTCTATTGCGCTAGCAGCGTTAGTTCTGCCGCGACAGCAAATTTCTTTTTCTCGGTACGCAATGGAGGAGATTGAAAATCGCAGAGAAATGCTGCCTTTCTTATATTCCTAGGAGGAAAACAGCTCGATGCAGATATAATGCTAAATTTATACTTCCGACAGTTTCCGATCGTTTTATTCTCGTTTCTAGAACAAGAGACGAAGGATAAACGCGCACAAGTCTCCTTCTTTCGCCCCAGTAAAATAAAGAAAAAAAAAAAAAAAAAAATAAAGAGAGAAAAGATATCCGTCTACGTGCATGTATATATATATATATATATACACACATACGTATATATACATACATACATATATATATATATAAATATATATAAATTAAAATAACTAGGTTCAAGGATATAACACAGAATGTCCAATGATCAAATTCGATCGATAATTTATACTATCCGAACAGGTCGACAAATAAATTTCGATAATTACAAATATATTGATAGAGAACGACGTAACTTTGATCGATAATTTCGATTTCACGCTCAACGTGAAAAAAAAGATACAAGAACGACAAGAAGCGCTTGAGAACGTAGTTTAGGAATAGGATTGAGTTCAACTTGTATTCATGTGCTTCGACTGATTCGATGAGAACCGGCTGTTGTTTCACTGAAATCGAATCAGCATTATTAAACATCGTGGACTCATTTCGTAAAGCACTTGCTACGATTAAAAATCGATCTGATATGGATGCGGTAATACCGAACTATACCGATACAAAATGTAACTGAAACTTCTCAAAGTACATTCGAGCCAATATTTTCTTTTACTTACAAACATAACAGCATCAACACGTGCATTATAGTAAGTAAAAATTTATATACATATACACATTCACTTGTAACAATACATGCATTGTTGTAGTTACGTTTGTAAGGTAAACACTACATGTACTTTTCATCTTCAGATACTTCCAAGTATTCATGAAAAATTCGAGAACATGCTACAGATAATATTGAAGATATTGATAATACTGAGTGTACTCGATCCTATCTCTAACGCAGTCGGTGTCGGTGTGTCGCAGCATGTGTATGCATATATGTGTATATGTGTGTCTTGTTACGCGTCGCACCGCTACATTCTTCCGCAATATTCTCCGCTTTGAATATACGACAAAAAAATATCCATGAAAGAACGTTAAACAAAACAACAGATCGTACCGTGTATCACTCGAGAATTCAGATATTCAATACCTTTTACATTTAGGTTTAACGTGAAGCGCATGAGAAGTGCCTTTGTCTCGATTTTAAACGTTTATCTTCTTGCACTCGGTTCGCACATTTGTCGGACATCATACGTGCAACAGCTCTGATTACGCTGTGTATAATACGACATCGTGACACGTAATACTACGTAATTCTCGCGGGTCGGTAAGCACAAAGGCAATTTTCATACGCGCCGTTTCGCCGGATGTGACATATAAAAGAACTACATAGTACGTACAATAACGAATTACGTCGTAAAATTATGTCTGTCGAACAAAATTCACAGTAATGAAGTCCGATGAACGACAGTTCGTTTCCTTTCTTTTTCTACTTATCTATTATATGCATAGAATCACTCGCGTAAATAAAGCGGATTCGGGTCTAAAATTATCGCTAATAGGCGCTTCCTTGTTTCGCACGGGGGCGCGCACGCCGCTCCCGGAAAAATTACAATTACGATAACTCGATTAGACTAAGATTTTAGCACATTTAACGTAATAATTAAAAAAATCGGATTATCTTGAAAAAGTCGAGATTACTTCTTTTTTTAAAAACTGTTCCTCGGACAGTACATCTCTATTTTCGAATAATTATTAATCTCCTTTGTTTCCCCTCCTCTTGTTGTTTTTATTTCACTGGTATACACTGTCGTACAGCGGAAGTGCACGCACTACTTTTCTTCCTCTCGTCCCCATCTTGGTTTGAATTATTTAACTTTGAACATTTATTCTCCCATCCTTATTACGCACTTCGCCCGTGAGGCAACTTAGGACCGTCACAATTCACCACGCGAATAATGGAACCGTTACGCGTTAACTATGAGGTACATTTACATAAAAAAAATTAGCAGAGCGTTATAGACGTTTATTCTCATTTTGATTATTCCACCTGTGAGTTTTATATTATCACATATTTTAGACATTTGTTTCGGTATGTCTTACAATAGATCTTCAAGTTAGTTTTCCCCGCTTCGTTTAACTCTTCCTCACCTCTCGTTTACCTCCTCGAGATTTGTACCGCACAGATTTGTGACAAGTTCATCATCGTCAAAGTCGCACTTGTTTTTCTTTCTTTCGTTTTAGCGTGTTAACGATCGTGACGTTCCGTGACGTGTTTTGGTTTATGGTCCTTTTCATTTGTTAATTTTTCATAATGGTTTAAACGTTTTTAAGTTTCACATTTCCGGACGAGCGTGACACTCAACACGCACTACTTGTATCTCTCTTTCTCTCTCTCTCTCTCTTTCTTTCTTTTTATACACTGGCATAATTATTAGTCTCCGCTTATTAACTGCTGAGTGCAAACTTTATTTATATACTTTACGCTTTTATGGTGTTGATGCTTCTGCTCGAATAAGTAGGTAATACAATCAACGAGATGCTTACCGCTGCTTGTTCGATATACACAATTTACATTCCAGACACACTGTTATTTATTCTTGAACTTATATTTGCTTTAACTATGTTTACCGCGGCTTTCGTTAGAGTTTTAAGCAGTTCATTAGAGCATCTCGATAACGAGATACGTTGAGTGTCCTTATTATGGCGTATACACATGTTTCTCCGTTCTTCTCGTTTTTACACAGTTCAGCACTGCACTTTTCTCGTAATACGCAGATTTTCGATTTTGAGACAGAACTTCGATAAAAAGAGCCACGTGAAAAGTTCGATTTACGATTAGTCTAGCGTTTGCGTCGTTTACACATTTAAATTAATTTGATATACCTAATATTATATCGTGTCATATAATTATACGAGGGCCTTCTTCGTTATTTTATTACTACCGTTTCTTGGCGTTTCGATTGCTGAGTTCTTTATTTATCTTGGCGCGCGTCAAAGAAACAATCTTCCTTTCTAATAATCTCTAACAAAAACTCATTGTAGAGCTAATAACATTTATAATAAAATTTATAACACACAAAAAGCATCAAGCCAATGGTTTCGTAATTTTAAATTATAGAAAAAAAAATATATATATATTCAATCTATTAATACACAAAATAAAGTTGTATATAAATTAGCCGATATAGCCAAATAATTTACTTATAAAAAGGATATTTGTTCATAGAGATAGCGCAAGAAAAAGTAAATAAATATATCAATTGACAATTTATTTTTGAACATAAATTATTTTTTACTGCTGTGATGAGAAAAGATCCTTTATAGGGGGAGGGAATTTCAAACACTCTTTCATAGAATTAAAGAATTAATTTAAGAAAAGATAGAAAAGAGTGGAGAAAAAACAAAAGTAAATTACTAATACGGTATTGCAAAACGTACTCACAAATAACAAATATACGACCGTGAATATGCATTTGTAAATATATTAAATTTATCAACAGGTTGTATATTTTCCTGTAACGTTTTTAAGTAATAAAACGAGAAATATATATTATATGTTATCTTATATAAATCAACGTAATTAAATGTATACTTCCATAGAAAGAACCGTAGTCTACAAGATAACTTTTTTTTAAATTGAGGTATTTAAAAAGGCATATAACACAATTGCAAAAATAAATAATAAATTATTAACCAACATGGGATCAAAAAACTAACCTTATACAGATTATTCGTTCAGCAATATTTTTTATCTTCCTTTGTGCACAAAATAATTTGTATAAACATTTTGTGTATAAAAGTATCGAAGTGAAATCACGGAAAAATGGACACGAGATATTTCCTGTATCCAGAATGTCATATCAGAATGTCAGAAAATAAAACAAAATATCCGGCAAAGGACCCATTTTTAAACAATATGTTACCCCAACACTTTTATAAGAAAGAAAAAAGCATCAGCAAAATAAATTGCTTATAATTTTTATCAACCCATAATTGAGTTTGGCCCATGTTGATTAAATATTTGAAATATCATATGCTTTTAAATTCCTCGACCGTCCTTCACTAGATTATCTTGTATTTCATTGTTATGTATACAAATTCGTCTACGAATGCATAATCGGAATCGTTATCCGTTATTCGCGGACGTCTTTTCGCTTAACACTAAACGATGATAAAGCTGATAGAAAGGGACAGATACGACAATCCCGATAAGTGGACATTAAATAATATCAACAATATTAACAAATTTTTTTCAAATAGTAACAATCGCGTTTGACGTGTATAAAGCAAATCGAAAATCGCAATAAAGAACTCGGCAATGGGTCACTGCGTGCTCGCGATATAATGGACTTACAGTTCTAACGCTGTTTGATTGTTTAAATTATATTAGGTTAGTTCCTAGTTGACCATAAGTGTGTGCGATTCCATGGGCGCTGCACTGTCGTATAATGTATCCGTGTCTTGAGTAGGCTCACCCTGTAGCTGACACTGATTGCTCAACGTTCCGGCGCCACAATCGCAAAAGAATCTACAAATATTAACATGTGGTTGTAATTATACAACAGTTTTACGTCAAAATCTACGTTTTACGTCAAAAACGTGTTAATGCAAATAAATAACATGTGAAAAGAGGCGGGAGTCTTTCTCTCTCACCGATCGTGTCTGATGAATTCTACGTCGTGGCCAGCATGACAAGTTCTTATACAATTAACACATATTGCATTGCGATCCGTCGTGTTGCACGTTTGACAGCGGTAAAAGTCGTGCATGGGAAACGACGTGTACGAGGAGATTTTATACAGACATTGGCCGTTCCCAACCGCCTTCTCCACTGCGTCTTGGTTGTCATATATTTTATTGTCTAAAAAAGTGAGAAATTTTCCGTATATGTTTTCGTTTTGCGCTTCTGTCTCTACGCTACCGATACGCACAGGATAAGGTAATAGCTCTGTGCGTCGTCAAAAAGGGAGACGGAATATTTACCTCTAGTCGTCGGTTGCACTCCGCTCGCCAAACACAAACCACCGAATCGATTATTGAATATTTGATTGCTTTCCAGCGTAGCGGTGGCGTTATTGGTTATTTCAACTCCAGCTGCCAATCCGTCGAAAATCCGGTTCCTCCTCAACACGGGATGAGATTGCGTCGAAATGAGCACACCTGCTTGTGCATTGCGAAATATGTCGTTCTCCTCCAGGATACCTATACCGAGATGCATGGAGGAACGTGATAAATGCGCCTCAAAAAACCACATACTAAATCCAAGATTTAATTTGTTGATACTAAATAATTGTTTTTCAACCGTGTCATTTGCGGTTGATTCGATTCTTTAATATAAATTGTGCCACAATGAACGCGAGAAAGCGTCTTGTCGTATGAAAAAGAGAAAAAAGAAATGGTTAATTGAGATGAATTATACATTATTCATCAAAAGATCTTATATACATTGGTTATGTAATACATATTATTGGTCGACCGTGAGGATCGCGTATCGTTACTCCATAAAGAGAATACCATACCTTTGCCACCGTTAAATATACAGATTCCGCCGTCTCGACCGTCAAATATCTTATTCCTCTTGAGAGTAGGGTTGCTGTCCGTCTTAATCCAGACGCCAGCCATCGCGTTATCAAAAATCTCATTTTGTTCGAGTAATCCTAAGCCACTATTATACACAAGAACACCGCCGTTCTGCCCACCCCATATCTTGTTTCCACGTATTACCGGGTTACTGCCAGTCCTAGATTAACAGGAAACGCGCGTGCGTATTCAGCGGTTCTTAGCGCTAGGTACGCGCTCACGCTGGGACCCGGCACCCGGGACTCGTTAACAGGACGGGTCTTTAAATTACCTTATTTGTACTCCTGAATATAAATGATTGAAAATATCATTGTCCTCCAACTTTCCGTGGCCGTTGTCGTAAAAATACACGCCGACCTGCTTGCCACTGTGGATGCGATTTCTCCTGAGCACCGGCGTCGAACCGGTCGTTATCCAGACTCCCGCCAAGGTGTTTGCGTAGACCTCGTTCTCCTCGATCAAACCCTGGCCTTTCTCGTGCACGTAAATACCGCCGTGCTGGCCGTGGTGTATCTTGTTGTGTCTGACGATGGGGTCCGAGTTCGTCCTGATCTGTATGCCGGCCAGGGCGTTGCCGTAGATGTTATTGTGCTCGATCAGGCCCCTACCCTCGCCGAATATGTACACACCGCCTTGATGGCCGTTGTAGATCTCGTTCCGTCGTATGGTGGGGTTCGAGTTCGAGGTGATCCACACACCAGCAAAATTATTGGAGTGGATTTTGTTATCGATAAATTGGCCCAGACCGTTCTCGTGGACATAAATGCCTCCCGTCTGGCCGTGATGTATCTCGCAATGCACGACGGTCGGGTTAGCGCCGGCCTTCACTTCGAACCCCGCTATCCGGTTGTTGTGTATGTCGTTCGCTTCGAAATAACCAAGACCATTGTCGAATGTGAATATGCCTACGTCGCGACCGTGGTGGATGTGATTCCGCCGCATTATTGGGTTCGCGTAGTTCTTCACCCAGATACCGGCCAACGCGTTCCGCGAGATTTCGTTGTCCTCGTAAGTGCCTTGAGCGTAATCAGTCACATATAGACCCACGTTCTCACAGTCCGATATGTCGCAGTTCTTCACCACCGGATTGGCTCCCACGCCCGAGACGCAGACCGCTGCACCGACTGAAAATTGAAAGCTTAGTCTCAGTAACGTTCATGAATTGCTTAATTCAAATGTGGCACTCACACGATGCTCTAACTGTTATTACTATATCTTGCAAATTTCGAGTGGTTACGTAGTTGTTGTGTCATAAATCTGGCTTTATAGTGTTATCGCGAATTCTACTAAGCTTCTACGATCTCTCTTTATCGCGAAGTTTATAGATCAAATTCGAAAACATAAAACACACACCGACGCTCGAGCTTCTGATGATGCAATGATCGACGGTGGGGCTGCAATTCTCGCCAACTTCCAAGCAATAGTGCTTATGATGCGGCACAGTACTGGTGACGTCGGGGGTGAATTTCAACGTGAGGTGACCAGCGTAGGCGCGTTTCGCGCCCTCCACAAACATGACGGTCGACTCGCTCTCACGCTCCAGTATGACAGACTCGGCGACGTTACCGGGCGCGGCGCCTATCAACGCCACATCATTGTCTATAACGAGGAATTCACCTCTGTATGTACCGGCATGCAAAAACACCAAATGCTGAGGCCCTTCTTCGATCGCCTGCGAATTGTTGTTGCTGCTGCCGCTGTTGCTGCTGCAACAACCTTGCCCGCCGGCGGTCGTATTGGTGCCGCCGGCCGTGGCGCCGCTGTTGTTCCTATACTCGTCGACATAGTCCAGCGCGCCCTGAATCGTGTTGAAGTGCGGAAGATTACGTCCCTTGAACTTCAAATCCTGGAAGCCGGGCCTCACGTGAACACCCCTGTACAGCTGCCTGAAGCTCTCCTTCCACGGGTTGGGGTAGTCGGACTCGTCCGGCGAGACGAACTCGAATTTGCACGGCGCGGGATTGAACAGAGGTAAGTCGTACTCGTAGACCTGCTGGTAGAGTGACTTCCAAAGCTCCGTGTCGTTCGCGATTGTTTGGAAACGCTTGCAGACCTGCGACACTCTGCACAGGTCTTGTTCCATAAGATAATTGAATATTGTGAGCAACACCTCGTCCGGTAGCTCGTACTGAAGGTAGTGCGCCGCTGTGTTTGTATTGATACCTGTCGCCAAAAGGAACTGAAGTTAGAACGAGAATAATCGCGAAATGAAGTCAAATATGTATCACTCGAGACGTAGAAAGCTCGTGTGCTTTATTCTATCACTCAAGGATGTAAGGACTTTTATGCACATTTTGTTCTGATACCGAAGGAGACCGACTTTCATTGAATTCTGATTAAATTAATCGACAATTAACTCTACTGGCATAATTGCTAGCGTCAAAAATAAAACACACACAAGAGAAAAGGCGTTTGTTATCGAAATAAGAAAACTCTCCTGATAACTTACACTGAAAATTGTTATTCCGATAACGTAGATACTAATTAGTTTTGTTCCGTTAACGTACACACAATTATTAATTTCCTGGTTACTGTTGAATAACAAATTACGCAGTTTGAAATCGCCGTTGGCAATTCCGCCAGTAGATTATCGATCGGTTTAATCGGAGTTCGGTGAAAGTTATCTTTCGATTTCTCAATAAAAGTGCCACTCGAATGAATTTACGATGACGACACGACGACGATGTCGACGATGCATTCGCCGTTGTATTAATCCTTCACCCTCCGAGTGAATTTTTGTCGACTTTTAACAATCACTCAAGATGCACCTTCTGTGGATAACGAGCACGTCCGTCTCGGTCGTTTTCTCGCAGGTAGGGACGAGCAACCGAGGGTTGCGACGATACTGCTACCACCCGATGGTGGTAGGGCAGAACTGGTGCCGGGCGCTGGGTCCGGATGAGGTGGGCTCTTGCGTCTCAAATCGTAAGGCGACGAGTGCGAATGAGACGGAGAGGGTGATGGTGCAGCCACACCGGATACACTAGGAGACGAGCCTCTTCCGCCATTTCCTCCGCCTCCTGCACCCCCGCCACTGCCAACTCCACCCCCAGGTAGCATCTGTGGGTTTGGCGATGGACACGGCAGGTCGCATGGTTCGGCTAGTGAAAAAAGAAAGAAACACAATAGTCGTGAAAAAATCAAGAAGAGGTAGCGACGATTCATTCTCTACCGTGAAAGACCTCGACCTATGACAGAGGAGGGAGAGGGGAGCCAATAGAGTGCACGTAGACGAAGAAACAAAATGAAAGCGGAATGAATGATGAACGATAAAAATCGAAGTTAAAGACGCTTATTTGATCAACTTTTGATCAACATAAGCAATGTGTTAAATAATCGTAGCCGATCATGTGCACACGTGGCCTCCTCGCTCGTCTATGTCGTGAAACATACGGTACGTCAAGGGGCGTTAGAAAAATTTGCAAATCGTGACCTATGTACATATGGTGCCGCACCATTTGCGTTATGTTCTACAAACGTTGAAGTAGACGGGTGTATAAGATGTGCGAAGCTTGTGACGTTGTTATCTACATGTCGAACGAGGAATCTGTTAACAACGTAACAACACGATGCGACCGTGTATCGTGATATAATTGTTGGCATTATGTAAACCTAATTACAGTTCAATATACGATCAAATTATGAATAATTACATAATAATAATAATAATAATAATAACAGCAATAAATGTCGATATCGATTTTGTACGCGTGTGTGCTGTGTGTATGTGTGTGTGCGCGCATGTTCTTTCCGTAACGACACGCTCTTCGGCGTAGCATCGTTGCGAGAGCAAGACTACACATCAGGGCGCGGTACATTTCATTTCACTCCATTAACCACCATCTCAGTCGGCAATTCGCAGCGATCGCGGAAAATTGAAATTTGCATCGTGTGCCAAAGTACAAGTTGTCAAAAGGAGATACACGCCGCATGGCCGACGCGTCTCTCTCTCTCTCTCTCTCTCTCTCTCTCCCTCTCTCCCACTCACTATCACGAAAATTATCGTGCGACGAACACAATGATACAAGCGGAATCGTCACGCGGCGCGTTCCGTGGCGTCGTAAACAGCGCGCCTTGACGTTTCACTTTCTAGCCGGTCAACACTGGCGCACGCTCGTGGGATCCATGGGATACGCGGATTCCGGGCCGCGAGGATCTCTCGATCACGTTTTCGGGTCACAGCAAGTCCTCTCGCGAAAGTGGAGCAGGCACTAATTCATCACCACACAAAACGCACTATTGGCGGATGGCGCCGATATATCGCGTAACAGACGTCAGCCTGCCTATCTCTCCTCTCCTTTCGCTGCCCCTGCAAGAAAGATCCTTTAAATATCCTACTTTTATGTGGAAATTTGCGTGTGTTATTTGAGTAATCGTGATTTGGAAATCTTTCTCACGAGCACTCGACGAAGAGTTGAAAGCACTATAGAGTTTTATCGCGTGATGTAATTTCTACTCTTATCTAATGTCGCTCTTAAGGACACCCATACTGGGAATACTCTTTGAACTCGCCGCGCGGACGAAAGTGTGCGGGTTTAATCGGCTCTTAATTGTTTGTACAAAGCATCGTATCACCCATTTCTCCGAAGAACCGCAAACACCAAACGCGAAAGAATCGCTCGGCGCGGACGAGAAGGCAACGAGAGTGAAATTTCCTCGAAGACGCGGCCACGAATGTCAATTTCGATCATCTGAAAGACGCTTTATTCTTCGCTCTCATCATCCTCTTGCTCTCTCATTTCCTCCTCTTTTTTATCGTCTTCTTTCTCCGCTTCTCCTTTCACCCCCTCCCGCTCCCCTCTCTCTTTCTCGCGGTGCGCTGGAAAATTCGGGCTCCAATCGACGTATACTTGGCAAGTTGTGCTGCGTTCCAGCTGGATCGCTGGTGATTCGGGATCGAGAAGGAAGGAGAGAGAAAGAGAGAGAAAGAGCGATGAGGGGAGGGGCGAGGAGAAAGAGAAAAAGGGAAAAGAAGACAGTGGCAGGAAGGCGGGGACGGGGTTCTTTGGAACCCACATTCCGAGGGATTGATCGCGAAGTTGAGATCGAGATCGATACAATCGACTCACGACGACGTATGGCATACAAGAGATACAAAAGCGAGCGTTCTCCGAACGGAGCGAGTCTTCGTCCTGTCGCGATATTGTATTACAATAAGGATCGTATTCCGTGAATAGTACTAACGCGAGGGTCGTTCAACCCTTATTACATTATAGCTCTTGAGCTACCGCCCGCAGTAGCAATGTACGATTATGACAAGCATCATTTTCTCTTCAGGGTCTCGTTAGATTAATGTTACCCTAACTTTTACCGATCGCTTTGTACTCTCGTGCGTCGCCTTATGGTTTTCGTCTAGTCCTGAATCTATGGTCGTTTGTACGTTCCGGAGCATCACGTGGACTCGTGTTATTGCCCCGAGGCTGTTTGAATGAATGTCGATATGCAAACAGCTACGATTAAACCGCTCTCTTTGTTTATCTGTACTACGAATAGCGCTACGATCTGCAAAAGCACAGTTAAGCAGAATTAGTAAAGCAAGAATTGCGATCATTGGCACGAAGAAGGTTCACAGTCGATGATGCAAAAATGTACAACCGTCGATGCGTGGACTAATTCGACTTTCTTTGTCGCTACGGCTACACGTATGGTTAGATCAGGTCTCCAAATTTTGCCACTGAAAGTTCGACAGCTTTGCCACTGAAAGTTCGATAGTGTGTACTACTAGGCGATTCACGTGGTACTAGGCGATTTAAATTGCAGTACTGAGGTAGTACCTGTCTGGCAAATGACAGCCAAGATTCATAAGTTCACAAGTCTCCTGTCAAAATGAGAACTAGTACCTCGTAAAGAACCAAGATTCTACAAATGTGCAGAACAGTCTCTCTTGCATCACATACAGTTGCAGTTGCCACTCTCTGAGAACGTTAGATTTCTTCACTACACTAAAATTCTACATAGAGTTGCATCTAACAACAGTTCTGTCCTCTATCAGTTACGAGTCAGATATCATCAGACTACCAACATCAAGTCCCAACTTCTTGATCTCTGATTGTACCTTTGCTTGTACATTTACCTTGTTACTTCAGCATGCATTCGACAAAATACACAAGGCTGTCCCGTTTAACAGCTCTCCTGTCTGAAGCGAGGCAAAAACGTGTGAAATCGCTTCGAAGAGGTAGAGAAAGAGAAAGAATCGCAAGAGAAGCATGGAAGGATGCAGTTCTAAAGAGCCTACAGCTGCGGACCTTACACTTATGCGCCTAGACAAGAACATTAACCTCGATTTCCTTGAGACGTACGGTCGCTCGATTACACACGCCTAAAACGTCAATCTCGCGGTCGATCGCCATGCACAACACCTCGCCTCCGCATTCAGCTCCGCCACGATCCCGGAGACGAGGAGAGAACGAAACTTCGGAAGGCTCGTGTGTGTGCCCCCGTGTGCATACCGCGTCATCGTTTCCGCGAACTGCGCTGGCACCTCCGGGAGAAATTCCTGCGCGATGGACGCCCCTTGATGAGGTGGCCCGCCGAAGACGAGTCGGGACGAAACGGAACGTACGATGCGGAATGTACGCCAAGAGGTTCGTGCGTGCACGTTATAAATCGCGCACGGAGACAAAGACCCGACGGAGATGGCGGAGTGTACGCTCTCCTCTGCGACGCTTTCGGCATGCTGTCGTACCGCTGTGTTCTCGACGAAGACATTGGTGATGTGATCTATGGGCGAGCTATGAACTCCTGGACATCGGATGTAGTTGATTCTGTCTCTCCTATTGTCTCTCTTTTCCTTACGCCCCCTCTCTATCTCTATCTCTATATCTCTCTCTCTCTCTCTCTCTCTCTCTCTCTCTCTCTCTCTCTCGCTCTATCTCACTTAGGCTCACATCCTCTCTCGCTCTCACTCGCTCGGTCTCTCTCTCTCTTTCTCTCTCTCTCCTTCTCACTCTATCCCTCTTCGTTCGTTCGTTCGTTCGTTCGTTCACTCACTCGCTCGCTCGTTCGCTCGTTCATTCGCTCGTTCGCACGCTTACCCGAAGTGGTTCTCGATGGCAGAGGAATCCTGTTTGCGCCTTTCCGCCGCGATCTCCGCACGTAGCTGCGCGACGACGTGAACGACGCGCTCGGCATCTTTCTGTCGGCGGCGCTCGGCGGACGTCCTCGTCTCCGTGTCTGTTGCCGTCGTCGTCCTCCGCCTCCTCTTCTTCTTCTTCTTCTTCGTCGTCCTCCTCCTCCTCCTCCTCCTCCACCTCCTCCTCCGCCGCCTGTTCCTCTCGCAGCTCCGCAGCACTCGATCGGCGACTTCGCGTACTCCCTCGACTGCGAGGGTGCGCGAGGACCGGCGGTACCCCCCCGCCCCGCGCGCGGCAGTAGGGCAGCCGCCGCAACGTAGGGCCGCGCACGCAGAAGCTGCCAAAAGCTTAAAACACACTACACAATAGCGACACTACCACCGTGCACGGCGGCCATCTTGCTGACGGTCGACGAGTAGGACTCTGCTTGCCGACTGGTGGCCCAGAGGGCAGCCGCCAATCGGACGAATATCTGCTCCGTGAGTGCGTGCTGTGCGTGAAAACCCCTCCCCGCCCCCCATTCGACTCGCACGACCCACCGTTCACTCGTCACCCCTCTATCGCCCGCTGCCGCTACACGGCGTTTCCCTCCCCAACCCCTTCCTTATCCTGCTCCTGCTCTCCTCCTCCACCTCTTCTGTCGCGGCAGCCGCCGCCGCCGTCGCCACCACCACCGCCACCACCGCCGCCGCCGCCGCTGCCGCCACGGGGCTTATTACCGAGCCCCCCTTCCGCAGTGGAGCGCGACACAAGCGACCGACATCGGTTATGGAGCTATGGAGGCCGCGGAGCGAAATACCGATTCGCCCTGCATCTCCGCCGTCCTCTCGTGCCTCGCGCTTTCGGTCGTGTACGTGGCGAGCCTCTATGTCTGGAGTTCACCGCACAACAGGTACGTGTGACGTCTGTCGCGATCGGCGACAGTGGTGCGGTGGTGACGACAACAACGGCGACGACAGCGGCGATCGACGCAACAACCACAAAGACGACGATGACGACGACGACGATAACAACGACGGTGTCTTTCGCGATTTCTCCGTTCCGTTCACTCGGTTCTTTTCCTGTCGCGCGACCGTTCTTTTGTCCCGATGAAACGTCAGTGTCACTCTCCTCTCGTAGGCGCGGCGCTCGCTCTTTCGGCGAGTTGTAACTGTGTGGTACTTTACACCGACCGGACGGATACAAGTAACTGTCCCACGCGCTCCGCGTCGCAGCATTCGCTGTCACAATCGCATCCTGGTCAGGTGGCGCCAGCAACGTCGCTCCTAGGGAAACGAGAACTCTAGTGATCGTGCGTGATTTGGTCTGTTCTTTTTAGCTGCACTACTGAACTGGTGCAATAAGTTAAAGTGAGAAAAAATATAGTTGTCTCATTCTAACTTATTGCACTAGTTCCACAGTGCAGCTGAAAAGAATAGACCAATAGACTGATTTGTCCATCCTTACTTGCACTTTTTACACTAGGGTCTGTTCTTTTTAGCTGCACTGCTGAACCGGTGCAATAGGTTGGAGTGAGAAAAAGAAATATAGTTGTCTCGCTCTAACTCATTGTACTAATTCAACAGTGCAGCTAAAAAGAGCATATAGATTTCTAGAGAGTAGCAGCATCTCAGAATGTTGATAATGTGAATCTTCTTTTTCTGACCGTAAATTTAAGGAGACCAAAGATTTTCCAACTTAAGAGCATTTGAAAACGTTTCGTTTGCATTTCTCACTTCAATTTTGTATTCGAAGGGAAGATTCATAATCGACCCTCTGTTCTAGTCGGCTACACTTCCAAGTAGTTTCTTGTAACTTCAGTCTTTCTCTTGCGAATCTTAGATTTGTAGCTGTTTTATTTTAAATATAGAGAATATATAAATATGAAAGTATGAAAAAGGGGAGAAAACCTGCGTAAAACGCGCATATAGCGCTAGAACTTGAAACCGAGACGGCAACATTTGACATGACAGCTGGATTTGAATGTGACATATGCGTGGCGGAATTTTCAAATCGAACGCAAATGTCATTTTGTCAGAGAATGAGTAAATTCGTCTGTGAACTCATCAATTGTTGTAAGAGTTAATAAGACAATCACGATCAAATTTAGTTGATAATATGAACGATTTCATCGGTTATTTTAAAATCATATAATTAATGAAATCATTAACACATTAACATAATTAACATAGTGAAGAGACAATTAGAATATAATGTTCTCTTCTCGATAGCAATATTGTTATGCAAATCATTGATATCGGGCTTTATTCTTGATCGTTTTTGTTTCAGGGAACATCCGTCGACGATAAAGAAGCGATTTTTTAGTGTGTTTATCATGACTCTCATTTCACCAGTTCCTTTGTACTTTGGAATGAACGAGAATGTATTCAGAAAGGTAGCTCTTCGTCAAATAGTTTCAGGACGCTCTGTGTGAATGATCAATAATCTCTACTCTTTCATATTGCATTTCAGACAACCATATGGGAATTGCTGGGTCTACGATGGTCCGGCTTGATACAGGCTACTGTGATACCATTGCTTCTAACGATGATCCTGTTCCTAGGCCCTCTGAGTCTGCAGGGATTCAATGGCTTGTGGCGATTGTACACTGGTCAGCATCCAAAATTGCATTTCAGAATCCGATACGCTCCTCTTGAAAGTGCACGATGAAGCGCATCTGGAATGAAGCAGGTGTCATGTTGTTGCAAATTTTTCTTCAGAGCCAATGTATCGGTTGGGAAGCGTGAGAACGCTGATTTGGTGGAGAAATATGGTGATCGCTCCGTTGTCCGAGGAGTGGACCTTCAGGGCTTGCATGTTGCCGTTGCTCTTGCAATGCTTCGCGCCGACTACTGCCATATTCGTGTGCCCCCTGTTCTTCGGGGCGGCTCATTTCCATCATGTGGTGGAGAGGATAAAGATGGGAAACGGGATCAAGCACGCGCTATTTATGTCCTGTAAGCGAAAATCCCTCGTTACTACTAATTCCGCGATTGGAACGGTGATAGAGAGACAAGGAGTTTCTCACGAAAGATCTGCGCTTCGATTTCAGGTTTCCAGTCCGCGTACACGACAATATTCGGAGCGTATGCAGCCTTTCTCTTTGCCAAAACGGGTGAGGTCATTTTAACGTGCTATTGGCTAATCATGAAAGACCTTTCCTTATGTTTGTATCTGTCCTCAGGTCATTTTGTCGCACCATTCGCCGTGCATTCCTTCTGCAATCACATGGGCTTTCCTGATCTCTCCGAAGTGGTGGCGTACAAGGACCCGCTGAAGAGAGCCGGACTGCTGTGTCTGTTTGTAGTCGGCTTAGTCGCTTGGTGTTTTCTGTTGACGCCATTGACTCATCCGTCACTGTTCCATAACGATTTGTTCTGGCATAAACATTTTACATGAGATATGTCCGACTTACAACAGATGAGTAGGTTTGCGGTTTTATTAACAACTGGATTAGGATTTAATGTTTTTACGCAGGAATTCTCTATCGCTCCATCGACTTAACATTTTACATTGCTGTGTGACATTAACGTCGAATCTTAACAGTACAATATTCATCTGTCAAGGTGTCTTCCGCGCATTATCGCGGGATCAACATGATTTCGTACTGATTAATCCTTTAAGCCGAAAAATATATCGATATAGATAGTCTAATTTAGACTGATCGTACAATTCGACGTTGTTATGAGATGTATCACCGTAGTGCCTGAGATTTAATTAGACTTTTATAGTGGTAATTGCGAGAGTGTGTCAATAACTATATTGGAACAAAACCAATTTGTTCTTAAAGCCAAAGTGCGCAGACTCGTATATATATTATCGTTTACGAATGGCTACATATATACGTATGTCGCGATGTCGCATTATTTCACGATTCGAGGCGTCGCCGTCGGTTAAGTGTTATCGATATTATTTTTTCAGGGAAATTTTTGTAAAACAACAACTGTAATATAGACTATCATAATATGATTAATATAATGTATTAAGAAAGTTTCTAAATCGATCTTTCTAATCATCTACTTTTATAATGATCTGTATGTGTACAGTGTACCTATAATGTCTATACATACATATTATACATATGTGAACAGCAGTGATGTGACATTTAAATGCAAGTGAAGCTGCTACATGTATACCAATGTTTTATTTGAATCACAAAAGTAACGGTTGTAACAATATTACCATACAATTTTTTATATATGTACATGTATCAATGAACATGTATGCATTATACATGCAATGAAATTGCAACAGAAGTACGTAAGTACTTTTATACGTACATATTTTGTACATATGAGATGTACAAAAGTCACGGTAGCCGAATACATATGCAAACACATGTTCAGGCGCAACTCGACTTTTAAATATCTTTCAATTGCATATGTATACTACGCATTTGTTACTCGACAGATATGATTATATCGTGCTGAAATCAACTTTTGAAATTATATATATTCAGGGATATGAAGTGTTAATAGTGATACAATGTTGACATATTATTAAGTGTTTTGCAGATGAGGTAAAAATGCAGATTGTATGCTATGCGAAAATTCATATAACGATGTTCGCAACGTCGACTTATACCGATAGCTTTCTCAAAAATTCGGTAGAACTTGTTAATTTTGTCTGAATACATAGCGAGAGAATGACACGTTTCTATGTACGATCATCTTCGTTTGTTTTATAACATTAATACAGAATATATAATTCTAAACAAAACATTTAACTCTCATATATTACCTATCAGTCAATGTTTTTACTGAATATCTATCCCTCTACCTAGACGAGTCTTGCACTATTTTATTAAGTGAGTTTACGTACGACAATGTATAAAAGTTTACATTGAAACAATGAATATCGTAGAATCGGGTTTTCTTAAGAGAATTTGATAATTGCTCTGATAAGAATAACAGTATAGATAATAAAGAAAGCATATCATATATGCTTAAAATTTTACGTTTTTTAAACGGTTTATACAAAATTTAATTACTCTGTGAGTTATTATGTTAATATTAATAACAATAATTAAATATGATTTGTTTGAGAATATACGTTACTCATATTATCAAACTCTCTTGAAATAAATTTCATAGACATTCATTTGCGTTTGCATAAAATCCACTTACGGTAAGCTAATATTATCAACACGTTAAAACTTACATGTGATCAGTTTAGAATAAAATAGCTATAAAACTTATTATAACGCAGTCATGTTCTTTCCCATGCTATCTTCGGATTGCACTGTTTAAATAGATAAATAACGAACTCCCTCTATATTTACAGGATAGAATAATCTTTTTTACGCGCGTGAATGCAATGATATCGATTTAGGAACTATAACTACGCAGACTTGTTTTCGACGGTTTATGGTGTGTTTGGTTTATCAATAAATAAACAAATAACTAGATAAATGCAGATTCTGTTTGTATGCTAACGCATATCTTCCTACATCTGATTGTGAACCAGAAAATATATTCAGTTTAACCACTTTATCAAGATATCTCGATTAAATACGTTCTTACGTTTGGCTGGGTCCCGGTATAGCGTCTGGATTCTGCGACTGATTAAGAAACAAGACGTTACTCGTCTTAATCCTAGGTCCGGCAGCGATCAACGAAGGAGAAGGACTGATACAAGGTGTCGAACAATGACTGTTGCTAAGGTCACATTGATCCAATAGCTTCCAAAGTTCTTCTGGTGTAGGTCCACCGGAGGAATCTGTTGCTAGGAAAAATTATGGATTTTTAAAAATAACATACAATGAGTCGCATCATGATATTTATGTGTACATTATCAAATGGATAATTTTAGTCGACTGAATGTGGAAGGGAACTTGACTTGTGGAGATTTGTGTTGGATCTTCAGACGAGTCACTTATACTATGCGAATTTCGTCACATCATTCCGCAGTGAGAGTAACACACCTTGATAGGCATTGAAAGACGGATCCAATGCCGTCGTGAGATCCCACATTTGTATAGTGCCGTTAGAATGACCGGTGAATATGAAACGTCTGGGCCTTGAGCCCATACCTTCGCACTCGTGTACGTAAAACGAGCTTATGATGCTGCCATCCACCGATTGTATTACGCAAACCCTTTTCCCGTTCGATGCTAATCGAACGAACAATTGGTCAGTTTCAGGCACAACTTTCTGCACGAACACTTGCTCGTCGTCTTGCTCACCAAACGGACCTGTGTATATTGTATTATGAATACTGAATTAATACGATCGTTTTAATCTAATAATCTTAAAAGAATATCGATAAATGAACTGTAAAGAAATTAATGCGATTTTTCGAATCTAATAGTAGGCCATAATAGTAGTAGTGGTGAAAGACACGTGTAACATTACGACGTACCGAAGTCGTTGCCGGCATTGTAACTGACGCAAGGGTCGATTGCTTCCAAGGAAACGATTTTGAAGCTTGCCTCAGGCATTGACCCTGGTTGAGTCGAAATCATTCCACGAAATCTAGTCACCGCCCAACTTCGTACGTGATTATACTCCGAACAGACTGATACTAGGTACTTTTCTGACAACGTCACCTGGAACAAGTTTCATGCGTGTAACTAAAGCAAACGCAAAAACGTTCATAAGTCGAATTTAAACTATTATAGTTGGGACAAAAGATCCGTTGTTTTCTATTCAACTCTGGCTTGTAAAAAGTTAATGATTCGAGAGTGAAACTATAAACTTGTTTGTTTCATTCAGAAAAATTATCAACACCTCAAAACTGAATAATTTCGCTTTTGACTTTACTTCATGGATACGATAAACCTTCCGCACCGATCTGATATGGATTCAGACATTTCAAGAATTGACATACCTTAGTTACGCTGCTTTGATGTACTGTGAACGTTTGAAATAACTGCGGACCATGACCCACAGTTTCTGGATGCTGCACGATTACCCTGACACTACCAGATTTCGTGCCGTATGCAATTTCTATCCAGTTTCCACAGAGACCTGTGTTGGAGGTGGAAAAATTTCAGAACTTTTTCTTTCATATCGCATTAACCACCTGATGCACTTTGCGAATCGGAATAAACCTAAATATTGTCTGTAATTCTTTTATCGCGTACTTTAGCGATATTGACTCACTAAAATCTTTATCTCGTCGAAACAGATTTGTGTGGTAATATGTAGATTAACTTCGTAATGCATTACGTGTAGACATAAAAAAAATTGAATAGTGTATCAGAGGATTAATTCTCAACATTACAATAATTACAATAACAATAGGTGAAAGACTTTAAAAATATAGGCATGGCGTGAAATAATGTGAATAAATGACACAAATGTGTTCGAATGTGTTTGTTAATACAAGGTAATAGTTGGTATGTAAATTAAAATGTAAAGCCCACGATATTACATGCAGCGAATATTAATTTGTAAAACGAAACATAATAACAATCACAAGTAATAATAGTCATGTCTCAAATAACTATACGTAAAGATCTTAACATTTAACGCAAATAAAATCAATTTGAAATATAATTTATCCAGAGAGAAAAAGAGCATTATCTGAAGTTTTATCTATGGACTACCAACAAAAAAAGTAATGTGCAAGCAAATATGTGTATTTCCTATTACCTTCCCTCCCCCTTTCAGATGCTAGCATGGAATATATTAGATTGAAGAGGAAAAGTGAGAAAACGACTTTAGCAACTAATTCAGATCAATTGAATCAACTGCACGAAATGCATGAAAAATTAAAAAAAAAAAAGAGAAAAAAAACATTGCATTAGTACAACTGGACGTATGAGGATAGCAAGGTTGTGTGTGAGTCGTGCAATCATTGTCCGTGTCTTATGTGAATTTCCTATGTACAGGTACAGTTGTATAGTGTACGGTCTGCATTTGTATTTTATTATGAAGAAATGTGCTCTGTATGTGGTAAACACAACTGCGTATACGAATATCTGCGTTACTAGCATGAAGGGGAGACACATTGTGATCAGGTGCATCGATCTAGTAGAACTTAACGATTTTCGGAGAGGAAGGGAGTGCTCTGTGATGAATTACGTGATTCGCGACATTTGATACAATTAATACGTAAGATGGATAGAGATTGACGCTTTGAATAATAAATTGAACGTGAGAAGGCAAAACGTCTGCGTATATCGACCCATACTTGCCTTGTGCTATCGATCCAGTTGTACGAAATCATGAAGCAAAGAATGTAATAATAAATTTTCATTAATATCTTTAAGAATCATTTTTCACTCTCTTAAGCTTCACAACATAATGTTTTAATAAATAAAATGTTAATATTATTTGCAATAATGATTATATTTAAACTTTGTCTTAATTGCTTTAATGTATATTTTTATATCAGCGTGCGATTAAAGTAGCTATTTTGTGTGAGATTATAAAGTTCATGGACGACTTTCATTCTGAAATTTTACTTCTGCTAAATGGCATTCCTGCAATAAGAATCCTCAAAAGCGATTCAAATGCGCAAATTCGTCGGAATTGTTTTTGGCGAATAATAGCGACTATTTCTAATTGAGAGTGTTTTACCTCGGGTTTCCGTACGTTGTCATTTTATCGAGATTCTTACATTAAGACGAGAATGAGAATAAGAAAGGGCTTACTTGTTTTCGGCGTCAAATACACAGATATTGCAGTTATGGGATCGCAACTTGGATCTCGATATAATTCAGTCACGAGCAGATCGTTATCTTTCATCCGCAAAGGAAACTTTTGCATATCTGCAATACATATTGAATATCAAATTCAGTAGATATTCTTTTAATCACAAATGCAGACTCTCTGAATGATATTACAGTTCTATTTAGATTCTTATTCAGCGATATATTTTTATTTTTTCTTACCGATATAATAAATAGATCCATTGTTGCAACCTAATAACAGAAAGGATCCGGCCGTGTCGAAAGACAAAATAGGTACTACATCTTGTATCTGCCAGTGATGAGTCATTGCGTGCCACACACCGATTTTCCCGGTCGGTGACAATGCAACCAACTGACTGCCAATAAAGAACAGATATTCCACGCGTACGTTCAAGTTGAATGTGCCTACTTTAGATAGTCTAGTAATCCCTTCCTCGTATATGCCCCAGAGTCTTACTTGGCTACCATAGGAAATAGCAACCATTTTACTATCCGCTATGGCACAGGCCATCTTCGCGTTTATAGCTACACGCTCTATTATGCACTCGATGTGCGGACTGGTGAACACATGTTGCCATCCGGATGAGTCTTTCAATCGGTAGCATGTTATGAAGTGCGCGTAAGCGATTACTATCCAGTTGTGATGTGCTTTTATAATTTGCACTCTTAGCGGATCTACCCATGATGAAACTGCACACCAAGTAGTTTCATTAAAAATTAAGAGAATAAAAAAAATATGTATGTGGTTTGATAATTAGAAAATCTGAAGTTTTATACCTTATTACCTATCGTATGTTTCGTTAATACTTACCTTGCTGTTGCCCAAATACTAAGCTGATGTCGTTTCTATATAACTTATTCAGATCCGCCGAATTGTTTCTAACATGTCTCAGATCTAAAGATGGTGTGCGAGAATGTGGCAGACCACGTTGTGGCAATCGATAATCTAAAGAGGAATTCCTCATGTGGGTCCCTAGATTTGTTTTGTGATTCTGTTGGCCTAGAACAATTTAAAAGTTTCTTTCTTTCGATTATCAATCATTAAACTTTTTTTTATATAAGATGGTTTAGACATATGCTCTTTCACTGATAGTTCAATTATTATTTAATATTTCTAATTACCAGTAGTAGCATTTTGATTCATGGAACTGGCAGCAGTTGTAGATTGTGATGTAGATGGTCCATCAACTCTGGAGTTGGTATTAGACACAACTCTAATATGAACAGATACATCACTGACATTTGATGTTACTGCCATAGGTTCTTGAAGAGGAATATCTTTTAAATAATATAGATTATTATAGCTTCTGTCAGCTTATACAGTGATTTTTCTCTGATAACAATAATGTAATAATATACAATAGATTTTTATTACAAGTTCTTTCTTTTTCTTCAATATATATTTATATTTTAATTTCTAGTTTATACTTCTACGAGCACAGCATAAAGTTTATAGTTCCAAAACTAAATTTGTAATAGGATTTTATTATAATCAGTGACATTCATAACTTTTCTTACTTGGAGGTGGTAAATAGCCATAAAATAATACACTGCCACAGGATGACTGAGTCAAATCTTCACAGAGCATCAAACGCTTAACTAAAGGTGTAATACCATAATATTCAGCCTCGTGCCTTAAACTACGGATATCTATGCTTCTCAGATCAATGTCTTTTGTGCGAAGATAATTCAATATAATAGAGAATAGCTTTGGGTCTCTGTCTATAAAAAGAGCACCAGTTTCATCTTTATGACTGTCAATTCTGTTACTTAACAGTGCTGTAAAAAATGAATCCTGGATCCACGTCAGTGTTTGGCGAGACGTGGAAAATCTGAAAGAGGACAACTTTTACTCTTTGTCGATAGTCCTTAGTAATGATTGCTCTAACGAGCAACACATAAATTGCTCTAATATTACTGGAAATCAAATAATGGACCAATAATAGCGTCCAGTGCATACACGCACAGACGTACATGTAATATTCGCGTCACATTGGATTCGCGCATAAAAATGAAGAATAAAGGGAACAGCAAGTAACAATCGTTGGGTAATGATCATACCTAGTACCACCAACGTTCAAGTGAACAATGTCACTCACGCCTAAATAAGGCGCAGCCATTTTTGCTATTATCGTGTATTTTTATAATAACAACTCATATCTCACGAGATCCTTAATTACAATGAGTATTACGGCAATCAAAACAATCCCTCTGTCAGGTTATGTAGAAGGTGATAATCGACCAGTATATCGATATTCGATTCTCGTCATTAGGATATCGATTATCTTCTCGAAGTTTTCAAATTCGATAAATCTTTAAATGTCGATATATTATAATTTATTCGAATTGTTTTCGAATCACCTTTTCAAAAATTTGTATAGAAGATTAAAATATATAAGATAGTCAAGATTTGAACCACGATTTATTGGCCTCCGTAAAATCTAGCCGAGATTTAGAATATTAGAAAAATCTTGTTGAGCGTTAAATACCATAATATAATATATAAACCAGAGAGGAACGTGAGAGCGGCCAACACGGCGTTTTCGACGACACCGACTTTCCGCACTAGAGTCCCTATAGTAAGAGTCTGGCCAATGTGATCCAATTTTTGATTGGCTGGATACGAAATGGCTGGATACCAATTAGTGATAGCAAAGTATGCGGGATATTTGAATAGCAATAACAGGAAAAGGAAAATTAAAATACATATTTGCAATTTTTTTATTATTAAATTTTGATATTACATAAAGTTAAAAAAATATTACATATGTAATAACATGATTATTAAATTTTATCTAATAACGGAATGCATAGCCATGGTTTTACTATTAAAAACAGGTTTTTCTAATTTTCCAGTGTGACAACTTTTCCTTATTTTAAAATTAATGAAACGAATTTTAATTTTGTGGGATAAATTGTGACATGTTTTTAATGCAGTACATTCAATATCTTTCATTTTTTTAATAAGGGAATTAACAATATTATAATTGCTTTACTTAATATAAGGCAAATAATGTACAATTACATAATTCATTTCTAAGAAATAATTAAACGTCGTATCATTAACAAAAAATAATGTTTTTACGCGATAACATTTTAATAATAATATTTATTAATAATAATTTAATTATTTTCATCGTTGTTTTTATTATATTTTAACTTCTTTATTTTTCCATCGAAAGATTCCAACATTACTTTTGTATGAGGAAAACTTATTGGCACTGCTTGTGCTTTTAATTTTTTGGAACCATCCTGTCACGGTTTTTCCCACATTTCTTTAGTAAAATGAACCTACAAATACAATTAGATGAGAAACATGTTTTGTTTATTATTTGATATAATTACATGCTTACCTCACAAATTGCTGAATATTGTTTCAGTTTCCAGTTTTCTCTTCCAATTTGTTTCAACCATATAATTTTTTGTTTTTTATTTATTGGAAAACGTTTCATATAGAAGCCATTTTCGCTTCTATTTCTGCATCCCGGTATGCAACAATTAGTCATTTTTAAAATATTTTTATAAATATTTTTATATATAGTCCTTTTATTGTGTTAGAAGTTTTCTCCAAGATGAAATGATGTTATGTTATCACTTGCATGTGCACGCGTAAAAACCGAGATTACAGTAAGTGCAGTACAGGTGTAGTAGCCATTTTGTATCCAACTAGAACATTGGCCAGCAGAGAGGAAGCTGAGAGCGGCCAACACGGCGTTTTCGGCGACACCGATTTTTCGCACTGGGAATGGGCGCTATCTGCATCCATTTTGAGAGGAGAACTACGATGCTACATCCACTTTTAGGTCTCGACCGTAAAACCTGCATCTGGTGGCTGTCCGTGCTACATCCACTTTCAGGCGGTTTATGTCCGTGCTACAACCATAATAGCGTACTTGACAAGCACGGTCTCGCGCATTGTTATGCATTTGTAACATGAATTAACATGTTAACATGCACAAAAAAAATAAGAATTGAGATTGTATATGATTAATATCATGAAGATTATATACGATTTATATCGATATATAAATATATGATAATAAGATAATATTTTGTGTGTACTTAAAATTATTTTTCCAAAATATTTCAGCGTTACGTTAGTATTTATTTATACTCCGGCAGGCGTTTTTTAGCGCAATTGTGTCCGTGTGCATGTGTTGCATTGAAAGTGTGCGTGACGTACGTGTGCATATACGCACTCACACACTCACACACACACACACACACGTGTCATACGCACAGATAGAATCTCAGGGTATATGCTTAAACATTTTCAATTGCCGTACGTTTCTATGTAAGAATGAAGTCGGCACACACACTCAGAGAAACTGCTCCCGTCTATCCGTCTGAAGTCCCGCCCTCCGCTCGGCTTGTTTTGACGAGCCAAGCGAAAGAGAGAGAGAGAGGGAATGTGTTCTCTCCATTTCGCTCTAATTCGCAACGTTGCCGAGATTGTGCTTCCCGACACACGGCCGAGACTGACGTTTCATTCTCGGCGTGAATCCAACGAGATGATCAATAGCAATCGATTTCGACTAAACTCGTTGTGTCGATAGATTTGCATGACAAATTAACATTGCACTTAAAGATACGGCGTAGCATTGAAGCGTTTGCAAGAAAGTCGCGATTGAAAATCGCGAGTGCTGCATGACCCAAATGAAGGAGCGAGCTTCTCAAAGAGCGTGTGGCTTGGTGGAAGTACGCTGGACTCGCGGGGTTGAGGTCGGTGGTTCGCATCTCCTTGGCGGTCGGCGTTGTCCTTTTTCGCCAATCATTTTTTTTTTCGTTTTTTAGGAAAATGCACGTGTTGCATACAACATACGTGTATCACAATAAATTTTTTTCATTTTTTAAGAAAATGCACGTATTGCATACAACACACGGGCATCGCAAGCATTGCACGTTTCGTCGATGACACTTCCTCTGAGACCCCTCCCTGCGCTCGACTTGTTTCGACGAGCCAAGCAAAAGAGAGACAGAGAATGTGTTCGCTCCATCACCTCTGTGAAGATGGCCCTTCATTCTTCAAATTTGAAAAAAATTATTAGAGTTCTGAATGCCCCTCGCAGAGTTTTAGATCTCGCAGAGTTCGCAATCCTTTATAGAAAGAGTTCCGTCATTTAAAGTAGAGAAAATATCATTTTAAAAATCGGAGGGCCAACTTCACGACGCCCCTCATTATGTAAAAAATGGCAATTTTTTAGAGTTCTAGATAGATTTTTAAGTTCTATAGTTCTAGATTAGTTTTAAAAATAGTTCTGTTTAAAACAATAAGAAAATTTATAAATAAAATTCCCGAATTAGAAAACGAAAAATGGCAAGAACTCTACCAATTTTGGTTTTAGCGCGTCGCGTGTTAATAATAATCTTTAGAACTCGTGAGGGGCTAACCAAAACTCTGAACAAAACATCGGATTTTCAAAAAAATTGATTGTTTATTAAACACATAAAATTTTTTTTCGGAAATTCGATGTTTCATTCAGAGTTCTGGTTAGCCCCTCACGAGTTCTGAAGATTATTATTAACACTCGGAACGCTAAAACCAAAATTGAAAGGGATGTCGCCGATTTTTGTCCCTCGAGTTTAATATTTCCATGTCCCTCGGATCGAAAGATTTTTTCAGAAATCCGACGTTCCATTCAGAGTTCTGGTCAGCTCCTCATGAACTCTGAAGATTATTATTAACACTCGGAACGCTAAAACCAAAATTGAAAGTTCTCGCCGATTTTCGTTCCACGAGTCGAATATTTCCATGTCCCTCAGCTCGAAAATCGGCGAGAACTCTTTCAATTTTGGTTTTAGCGCTCCGAGTGTTAATAATAATTTTTAGAACTCGTGGGGGGCTAACCAGAACTCTGAATGAAACGTCGGATTTCTGAAAATAAATTTCCTGAGTGAGATGGGAATCGCAATTTATGAAAAATGTAGCATTTTTACAGTGAAATCCGGTGATCGAGATGGAAAACCGATTGACCCACATTTACCCATTCACGGCAATTTACGGCTAAATGTAGGGCTTTGAGAGGACTTTAATTTGGTACCAGAAACAGGCCTGTATCTCTAACCGTTTAGGAGATATCGAAGGTTAAAGGTTTCCAGCCTTTCTCCGTCGATATCTCCGCTTCTACTGGGAGTAGAGAGTCGTCCATGTAGTGCAAAATGTAGGGTTTTGAAAGGGCTTTAATTTGGTACCTGTCCGAAGCCTGTATCTCTAACCGTTTAGGAGATATCGAAGGTTAAAGTTTTCCAACCTTTCTCCGTCGATATCCATCCTTCATCCGTCTATATCTCCGCTTCTACTGGGAGTAGAGGGTCGTCCATGTAGTTCAAAATGTAGGGTTCTGAAAGGGCTTTAATTTGGTACCTTTCCGAAGCCTGTATCTCTAACCGTTTAGGAGATATCGAAGGTTAAAGTTTTCCAACCTTTCTCCGTCGATATCTCCGCTTCTACTGGGAGTAGAGAGTCGTCCATGTAGTGCAAAATGTAGGGTTTTGAAAGGGCTTTAATTTGGTACCTGTCCGAAGCCTGTATCTCTAACCGTTTAGGAGATATCGAAGGTTAAAGTTTTCCAACCTTTCTCCGTCGATATCCATCCTTCATCCGTCGATATCTCCGCTTCTACTGGGAGTAGAGAGTCGTCCATGTAGTGCAAAATGTAGGGTTTTGAAAGGGCTTTAATTTGGTACCTGTCCGAAGCCTGTATCTCTAACCGTTTAGGAGATATCGAAGGTTAAAGTTTTCCAACCTTTCTCCGTCGATATCCAGTCTTCATCCGTCGATATCTCCGCTTCTACTGGGAGTAGAGAGTCGTACATGTAGTCCAAAATGTAGGGTTTTGAAAGGGCTTTAATTTGGTACCTGTCCGAAGCCTGTATCTCTAACCGTTTAGGAGATATCGAAGGTTAAAGTTTTCCAACATTTCTCCGTCGATATCTCCGCTTCTACTGGGAGTAGAGAGTCGTCCATGTAGTGCAAAATGTAGGGTTTTGAAAGGGCTTTAATTTGGTACCTGTCCGAAGCCTGTATCTCTAACCGTTTAGGAGATATCGAAGGTTAAAGTTTTCCAACCTTTCTCCGTCGATATCCATCCTTCATTCGTCGATATCTCCGCTTCTACTGGGAGTAGAGAGTCGTCCATGTAGTCCAAAATGTAGGGTTTTGAAAGGGCTTTAATTTGGTACCTGTCCGAAGCCTGTATCTCTAACCGTTTAGGAGATATCGAAGGT